GTTTTCCTTATTTTTATTATTTGTCCAGTTTTTGCCTTCATATTAAGGCATTTACAATGTCATGGTTTGGGTCAAGTGGACCTTGGTTCTGAAGGTAATATATTTACTTCTTAATACTTTGAAGAGGTGTTTGGTAGCAGATTAACCCACCGTAATAAAATTCTCACCACTGGGCCAATTGGCAGCATCAGGATGGATGGTAAAGAGATTGAGATTGTTCATAGCTTTAGTTTACTTGGTTCCACAGTCAACACTTTTGGCACCAGTAGCCAGGAAATTAAAAGATGTATTGCCATGGGAAAGTCTGCTGTTAGGGACCTTTCCAGAGTACTGAAGAGCAATGGTGTCTCTCTGGAGACTAAGGTGCGTCTGATAGAGGCCATGGTCTTTGCGATCACTTGTTATGCATCAGAGAGTTGGACAATGACTAAGGAGGATAGAAAGAGAATTGATGCTTTTGAGCTGTGGTGCTGGAGAAGAGTATTGAGGGTACCATGGACTGCTAGGAAAACAAACAGATTCATCCTAGAAAGGCTTAAACCGGGCAGTTCCTTGGAGGCAAGGATTCTGAGGCTCCATCTAACATACTTTGGACATGTTGTAAGGAGGGACCGGTCCTTGGAGAGGGACATCATGCTTGAGAGGGTAGAGGGACAGTGCAGGAGAGGAAGGCCCTCTATGAGATGGATTGATTCAGTGACTGGGATAATCAGGATGGGAGTGTCAGAGACAGTGCGATTGGCACAGGACAGAGCAGAGTTTAGGGCTGTTGTACATAGCGTTGCTGTGAGTCACAAGGGACTCGACGGCACATAACAACAACAACAACAACAATACGTAATTTGATTTCTTGGCTGCTCCTTCAATGATGTGAATTGTAGATCCAAATAAAATGAAACCCTTAACAACTTCAATCTTTTCTCCATTGATTATGCTCTTGCTTATTGGTACAGTTGTGAGGATTTTTGTTATTTTTTTGTTCGGGAGTGAGCCATACTGAAAGCTGTATGCAGCCTTTCATCTTTTTCATCAGTAAGTTCTCTAAGTCCTTTTCACTTTCAGCAAGTAACTTTGCATCATCTACATATCACAGGTTATTGAGTTCCCCCCCCAGTGCTAACTTTGTTCGTCTTCATATAGTCCAGCTTCTCAGATTATTGTATGCAATATACATACTGAATTGTGGGGTTGTTATGTACCATCGACTCAGCTAACCCATAGCTGACCCTCCAGCAGTCAATCACATGGGAGAAGATTGTTCATCTTTCTTCTGCTGAGCATCTGGTGAATTTGAACCTTGTGTCATTGTGTTGACAGCACAGTTCATTACTATTAAGTCACCAGAGTTCCCTTTCAATATGTATATTGAATAGGTGTAGTGAAAGAATACATATAGTCCTACTGCACATCTTTTAAATTTTTTAAATAAAAATGTTTATTTTATTTTATACTGATTTGTTTACAAAGTTCAAATACATTGTTTTTCACACCAGATCTGTCCCATTTTCCTCACCACCCCCCACCCATCAAATTGTGCTACTCTATGATTACCTCCCCCTCATTCTCACACCTCTGTTTCTACACCCCACCCCCAACCCACACACTCATTCTACAATAAAGGTTTTATCCAGAGTTCAGTCCTTAAGGGATTGAGTTAGTTCACTTAGCATAATGCTCTTCAGTCTCTCCCAAGTTAGGCAGGAATTTACAAAATCATTGCTTCTGTGTGCTGTGTAGTATTTCATAGTGTGATATACTGTAATTTCTCAAGACATTTTATTGTGGTTGGACATCTGCATTGTTTCTATGTTCTTGCAATGCTGAATAACACTGCTACAAACATTGGTGTACAAGTCTCTGTTTGAGCCTCAGTTCTTATTCTTTGGGATATATTCCAAGCAGTGGAACAGCTGGGTCATATGGAATTTCTATGTTCAGCTTTTTGAGGAAACGCCAAACTGTCTTCCAGAGTGGTTGTGCCATTTTACAATCCCACCAACAATGACTAGGAGTTTCTATCTTGCCACAGCCTTTCCAACATTTATTACTTGCTGTCCTGTTAAACATTGCCACTGCTACTGGAGTGAGATGGTATCTCATTGTGGTTTTGATTTGCATCTCTCTCTGGACAGTGATTTTGAGCATTCCTTCATATACCTTTTGGCCATTTGAATATCTTCCTTTGTGAAAATTCTTTTCATGTCTTTTGCCCATTTTGTAATTGAGTTATCAGTCTTTTTCTTGTGGAGGCCCAGGAATATTCTGTAAACTTTGCTATGAAACTCTTGTCTGAGATGGTATTGACAAATGTTTGTTCAAAGTTGGTAGGTTTTCTTTTCATCCTGTTGGAAAAAGGTTTTGAAGTGCACAAGGATTTAATCTTTAGAAGAACCTATTCATCAATTTTATCTTCTCAAAATTGTTCATTTCTGGCTGTATTTGGCAGTCTCTTTATATAACAGACTAGGCCTTCTAAATTTGATCCCACTTTGTTTCTTATGAACTTTATGATTTGGGGATTTACTCCGAGGTCTTTGATCCACCTTGAGTTGATTTTTGTGTATGGTGTGAGATGTGGATCCTGTTTCAGCTTTCTGCAGGTGGAAGTCCAGTTTTTCCAGCACCATTTGTTGAAGAGGTTGTCATTTCTCCATTTGATAAGTTTTATTTCCTTACCAAATATCAGTTGACCATAGACAGCTGAGTCTATTTCTGGGTTCTCAATTCTGTTTCATTGGTCTATGTGCTTGTCATTGTATCAGTACCATGCTGGGAATTACCTTGTTATGTGAATGTGAAACAAAATGCCTCTTGATCTATGCATAGATTTTCCATGAGGATAATTAGGTGTTCTGGGATGTGTGTGTGTGTGTGTGTGTGTGTGTGTGTGTGTGTGTGTGTATGAGATGTATTCTTTGTTATGATCCACATATTTGAATGTCTTTGCAGACCCCGTAAAACACAGGTGAACTTCTTTCTGGTATTCCCTGAATTTGGCCAAGACACATTTGAGGTAAGTGACAATAGTACTCCACATACTCTGCAGACTCCAAATTGGAGTGTGATGTTAATGATACATCAGTGTAGATATGTGTAGTAGTTGTAACTTTGGAAGCCCTGTAGGGCCATTCTGCTACCCTACAGGATTGTTATGAGTAGAACTGCATGCCATTGTCAAATTTTTATAACCATAGTATTTTTATTTAAATTAGTAATAATACCCTAGTACAAACGAATTTGACATTGCTGACATTTTTTAAGAATGAGTTTGTTGGTTCACTCATTCTTTTTTTTCTTTTGTTTTTTTTTTTTTCACTCATTCTTAAAAAAAAAATTCTATTGCGTGCCTACTTTGTGGCATGCACTTCTAGGCACTTGTAATGCATCTGTGAACAAGAAATTCTACCTTAGCATGCATTTTTAATGTGCTTTCCATATACTATACATACATATTTTGTGCATTGCTGTTGTTGTTGTGTACCTTCGAGTCAGAAGTGACCCATAGCTAACCCTCCAGCAGGTTTTCAAAGGCAGTTAATCGTATGGGAGATTACCCATCTTTTCTCCACATTTTGTGCATAGCTCTAGGTTTTAAAAATTTTTACTCAATGTTAACATACCAAATTTCGAAATCCATATTAACATGGCAAATTAAATCAGAAACTGGGTGCAGACCCTGTCCAGTCGCCTTAAGAATCCACTCCGGCACAATGAGAGTTAAATTAGCTTGTCTTAGGGGGGCAGAGCAGGACAAGTAGAGAGGGCCTCTGGGTCAATTCACTGCTCCTTAAAACAACACGCCCCTTAGCACTAAGTCTCTGGACTTTGTCCCTCTAATCCTTATCGCAGCGCCAACACGCCCCCTGGTGGCATTTTGCAGCCAGATCACCAGTCTCGGAATAGAAGTATACGGAACCCAGGAAACGGGCTCCAACTTCTGGGGACGAAGATAGGGACGGACTCGAGCGGTGTAGTTCCATGGCTGCGATGGAGGCAATGATATTTGGGGTCCAGGGTCTGCGACTCTGCCGCGTCGCCTCCGCCCGCGGAGTCAGCCAGAGTGAGTTTCAATTGCTATGAGAACAGGGAGTTGAGGCCTAAAGGGTGGTGTCCACCCAGGTTGGGTCAGAGGCGGGTCCTAGGAGCAGCATGGTCCCGCCGGGTGTAGGGCAGAGCATTTTGCTGTTCCTCTCGCTTTGGGTTTGGAAGAGCTGGTGGGGTGTGCGGGGTGCAGGCACCCTCGCCAGGGCCGCGGGGGCAACATTTGACACTCTCGGGGAACCCGTGTCCCCGCATTCATATTGTTCCTGTGTTCCCCTAGAAATGTAGTTTGGGTGAGGGACCTGCAGTGTTCTGGAGCTCCTTTTGTCCTCCTCAAGAGTTCTTTTAGACTGAATTTTGCTCACATTCTTAATGACTGCGGCCTCCTTTGGACCTCTTTCCTGTTGTTTTTGGACTTTATTGCAAAGCACAGAGTCCACGGAAGAAATTGTTTGGGAATATAGAGGTCTGATGGTAAAAGAGGAAGGTTAAAGGACAAATCAAGCTCAATTGTTACTTTATTCTCTTGGCATTTGGTTTAATTATTACAATTATAGTTAGAATTAGAACTATATTTCTAATTATAGTTAGAAAGCTATTTAGGTTTACTTCTGGGCATCTTTTTAGATATCTGTGGCCTCCTATTCTTCCCTTTTCATGACGTGTATTTATTGTCGTGTATCATGTAGTGGACTCTGATTTAAGACAACCCCAGGTGTATCAGGGTAGAACTGTACTTCATCAGGTTTTGAGTGACTGATCTTTTGATAAATAGATTTCCAGATCAGATCTTCCGAAGTACAAGTGGTTGAACTTGAACCTCCAACTTTCTGTTAGCAGTCTAGTGCATTAACTATATTACCTAAAGTTTTAGGAGTAGACTGGAGTGAAGGTGTTGACGGTATATAAATGTGTTCTTTTTAACTTTCACATTAATTGTAATTTCTCTGTAGGATTTATAGCAACATCACCAGCTTCTCAGTTGTCACCAACTGAATTGACGGAAATGCGGAATGAGCTCTTTAATAAAGAGAAAAGCAGGCAGTTATCATTAACTCCTCGAACTGAGAAGATTGAGGTTAAACATGTTGGAAAAACTGACCCTGGCACTGTCTTTGTGATGAATAAAAATATTTCGACTCCTTATAGTTGTGCCATGCGTAAGTAATAAATCAGGATTCGGTTATGGGGTTTGTTTTTTTAATTTGTCGAGCACATGTTGTTTATATCTGTATTGTGATTTGAGTGAGAGTTTACTGAAAGTGATTACTGCATCCAGCAATTTGTACACATTTTGTTCTGTGACATTAATTACAGTATTAACAAGCGACTCCCTTTTCCTAGTTTCTCTCTGTAATTCTAATTTACTGGAGCTCTTCTCTAACTCTCCTTGCCTTCCCTTTCAAGATCCTACTCTTTGACCAGTTTATATGAGCAATTCATGAAAACTTTTACAGAGAAGACATGTTAGAAGCTCCCTTAACTTTTCATAAATTCTCCTGTATTTGCTGTCTGTGTTCACTGTCTCTTTAGCTCATGAGGGGACTATGGGTCATGCAAAGTTGGTATTGTTGGGCAGAGAGTGTCTGGAGACTTTTTGAATATGACTTAAGTTTGCTGCTGTTGCTGTTAGATGGTATTGAGGCCACTCTGACTCAGTGACCCTGTGTACAGTAAAACACTGATCCTACACCATTGTCACAGTCTGTGCTATGCTTGACCCCATTGTGCAGCCACTGTGTCATTACTTTTCATTAAGGGACTTCCTCTTTATATCTCACCCTCTACCTCACCAAATACATTTTCTTACACCCCTAAAAAGCTAAGTATCATCAAGCTGTCTATGACTTAAAATGATCCTGTGAACAAAAGATCATTGCCCTATCCTCTACCATCCACATGGTCTCTCTCCTGCTCAAGTCCACTGTACTATTTACTGTGTCAGTCCATCTATTAAAGGGTCTTCTTTTCTTTCGCTCACCCTCTACCCTTCCTTCTGAAAATAAGCCCAAACAGAATGAGATGGAGTTTCAACATCCTTGCCCATAAGCAGCACTCCATAAGCTGCCCTTTCATCAAGACAGATGTATTATTTTGGTAGTCAGTGGTATATTCAGTACTCTATTCATCATCCAACTTTCAGATGCAAGTTGTTTCATCCATTACTCAATATCTGAATGGTTAATTAATAACTATTTTATAGCATTTTACTTTTGGGTTTTGTTACATTTAAAATATTAATCCATTTTAATCTAGATTTAAGTGAGTGGTACTGCAGTAAGTCCATTTTGGCTCTTGTGGATGGACAGCCGTGGGACATGTACAAGCCTTTGACCAAGTCCTGTGAGATTAAATTTCTCACTTTCAAAGATCGGAATCCAAGAGAAGTGAATAAGGTATTTCCCTACATTTCTCCTTCTTACTGCCCTGCTCATATCCTCCAGCCCAGTTTTTTTTAAAGCTTATTTTCTGTGGTGTACGAAATGTTAACAGATAGCTCAAATGCTGTTGTACCAGATAATCAGTTTACTTTAACAAGTAAACATAACATTGTTGTTATGTGCCATCATGTTGGAACTAACTCCTAGCTGACCCTCCAGTGGAATTTCAAAAGTTGACCATCTTTCTCTATTTCTTAGATTAGAAATTTCCATAATCTAAAATACCAGTGTCATCCATTTCCCTGTACTTTGATTTGAGAAAAGTATATGACGTATTTTTTATCTTCTTATCTTTTTTCAGCCTCCATGTATGGGTTATCCTGTGTATTGTGGGTGATTGATTCCCAGGCTACTGCTTTAGTTGAACATTTTACCATCTTACATGGATTATTAAAATGAATTCTTAACTTTCTCTTTTTTTTTTTTTAATATCTATTCTTCCTTTATAGTCCTCTGTGATTTTTAAAATAAGTGACATGATTGGCTCTGGCTTCAGTTCAGCAGTCAAATCCAAATCATCCAACTGCCCTCAGAGGAGGTATAAGTCAGTTTCTCCTTCAGGCGTCCAGTAAGAACGGCAAAAACCTTTAACTGTGGCCAGCACAAATGCAAGAAGACTCAGGTTATACCTTGCCACAGCCACAGTTTCTCCACAGCAGTGCCACAGTCTATCCACCACTAGAGTCTTACTCTCACCAGGATCTTGCTCCATTCTCCCTCAAGTCTTTCCAGCACATGTCTTGCTCACCTCTCTGGTGTGGGAGCACTCTCTTTTCCTAGTCTCACAGTTGTTGGTGATTTGCAAGACCATGTTCCTGCATTTAAGGTAGCTAGAGACCAGAGAGGCTAACTGTAATGGCTAAAAAAAGCTAACATTTAGGCTAACACCACAGAACCCAAAGGCATGCAGTTTGAATCCACCAGCTGCTCCATGGGAGAAAGATGAGCACCTCCTTATGTGCCATTTGCTGCCTCTGAGAACCCACTGGAGGGTCAGCTGTGGGTCAGTTCCAACTTGACAGTAAGTAACAACAGCATATTGTTTTAGCATAAGCTTATCAACAAATTATCATGGATTTAAAAATCAAGTAATTAATCAGTAGTATGGCTTTTTTGCTGGTTGTGCATGGTGATCCAGATGGGCAAGTAAAGGGAAGGATTGGGGGTCGTGTGCTTTTTTTGGTGTTGTATTTGATACGTAGTACTGCTCTGCCCCTCTGCCCAAGAGCGGGATCCTTTAGGGTTTAAGGCTACTCAATGACATTGACTTAAAACCCCTCAGGGAAGGGAAGGAGGCTGCGACCAGGGGCCTGGATGACTGCACTCTGGGAGTTTGGTGGCTTTTTGGTGCTTGTGCACGGCTGTCCGAATGGGCAAGTAAAGGGAAGTTTTGTGCGTCATGTGCTTTTTTCGGGTCTTTGGGCCAAATTTATTTTTGAATGAATATTTCTTGAATGACATCGCAATCTTTTGTCTATTTGCTGCACTGAACATTTTGGTGGTGTTGTGATGCTCTACACTGTTCCATAGTCTTGTCAGATACCATAATGGTTACCCCTTATGTACAGTGTTTGGATGAATTTACAGATTGATTTATGCTGGGAAGCAGGAGTGGCATCCACTTCCTAAACTAGATACCTCTGAAAACTCTACAAACTCTCTAAACTCTACAAACTACAAATGTACAGAAATGATGGTAGTTCTAGAACAGAGTTATGTACAGAAATGATGCTAGTCATAGAACAGAGTTTAGGTCTTTTGTGCAAAACTTACAAAACTTACTCTCAATCGTTTTTGACTTGATGACAGTTTGAGCACTGCTAAGTGAAACTAGTGCTTTTTTATCTGGAGGAACACTCTTCCACTTTGTATATCACTCTTTGTCAATGTGCTGTATGAAGTAACCTGGGTTTGCTGTGATGCTGAACCTTGTACCACTGGGGTATCAAATACCAGTATGGCTTCCCAATGTGGACTGTGTTTGGTGGAGCTTCCAACTGTAAAACAGTTTTGGAAGCAGGAGTGGCATCTTCTTCCTAAACCACATGCCTCTGGAAACTCTATCAACTTGGAGAAATGATGACAGTTATGGAAAGGCATTAGGTCTTTTGTTCATAGAGTCACTATGAGTTGTGCTTGACTCGATGGCAGTCAACAACAACAACAAATCAATAGTAAGACTTTCTCTTGGTTGATAACCTTTTTAGTGTCTGATATCTTGTATTGAAATATATCCATGATATAAACCTGATGCTTTATTCTTTTGTAGATTTTATTTTGATGAGTGAAAGTTTAGATAATGCAACATTATGATTACTGCTTATTGAGAATGGGCATATATTTGAGTAGTAGTTCCTGAGTCAGAGTTGATCTCAATTTTAATATTATAGAAACTTCAGTGAATCACTGTATGCATTATGTTTGTATGTTCTATCCTTTCCCCTAGGCTTATTGGCGCTCTTGTGCTATGATGATGGGCTGTGTAATAGAGCGAGCATTCAAGGATGAGTATGTCATTAGTTTGGTCAGAGCTCCAGAAATTCCTGGTAATGTACATTGATATTTACCTTTTATAATCCTTGACTCTTTTGGTGTTTATTTCTTAAAATAAGTTCATTTTTAATTTTGTCTCATATAAATTGCTCATAGATATATCCCATTTATTACTAGATTTATCATTTTATGATGAAATGTGACATAATCACAATGCTATATATTAAAGCCCCTAGATTACTAATGTCCACTTTACAGTCAACTCATTGTTGTCCTTTGATGTTAGGTATATTTGCCCTCACTGCTCACAACTAATTCTTCATCACAGTCACCCCCAGTTGCATAAAACATTTAAATTACTCAAAAGTCTTTCATCCTGGATTAGGTGCATTTTGGCATGCATGTTGACATCATTGCTCTTCAGCACTTTGGAGTTGTCACTGACAGCACTTTCCAATGCAGTATGTGTTTTGCCCAATGCAATAATGCGTTTTGATTTCCTGGCTGCTGGTGCCATGAGTAGTGATTGTGGATTCAAGCAAGATGAAATCACTGACAATTTCTTCCTCTTCTCTATCATGATGTTGCCAGAAGTGGCCCAGTAGTGAGGGGTTTTTTTTGTTTTCTTGATACTATAATAATATGATCCTATAGGTATAATACATTTTAAATAAAAACAGGTTTCCTAGCAGTATGGATAGTAGAAGTATGTACAACAGAAATAATTGTAAGAAACTCAAGAAATTATTCCCCATGTTGATTTTGTAGGAGTGAAAATGTTGGTTAAGGAGAACTTTAACTTCTAAGTGCCCTTTCTCTATTATGTGAATATTTCTGTTAGTATGAACATGAATATGTTTTTATAAAAAGAAGCACTGCATCGTTTATTATCAGGAAAAGTGTGTGTCAGGATTATATTCTTTCTCCATAACTCTTCAATCTATATGCTCAGCAAATTATTGGAGAGGCTGGACTATATGAATAAGAAGGTGACATCAGGATCAAAGGAAGATTCTTCAACACCCTGTTTTATGCAGATGATCCAACTTTGCTTTCTGAAAGCAAAGGTGACTTGAAGTACTTATGAAGAAGATCAAACATAACCTTCAATATGGATTACATCTCAACATCAAGAAAACAGAAATCCTCATCAGTGGACCAATAGGTAATATCATAATAGATGAAGAAAATATTGACGTTGTCAACAATTTTATCTTACTCACTTACTTCCTGTGCATCTGAAAGTTGGACAGTGAATAAATAAGGAAGACTGAAGAACCATGCCTTTGAATTCTGATGTTGGCAAAGAGTACTAGATATCCCATGGACTGCCAAAAGAATAAACAAATCTGTGTTGGAGGAAATGCAGCCAGAGGCAAAGATGGTGAAACTTTGTCGCACATATTTTGGGCATGTTATAAGGAGGGTCTAGTCCTTGGGAAAAGACATCACACTGGACAAAGTAAGGTCGAGGATTAGAGAAAGAGGGGAAGACCCTCAGTAAGAAAGATAACTTGACACAGTGCCTGTCCCTTTGGGCTTAAGTATGATGGAACTGGTGAGGATGATGCAGGACAAAGCAAGGTTCAGGTCTGTTGTTTAGAGGGAGCTCCGGTAGCTTTGTGAAAAGGAATTTCACTGCCAACTTAATGGTATGAGGTTGATAATGACAATAAAGGCTTTATGTTTTTCACAAAAAAAAAAAAAAAAAAAAGGTATGAGGTTGGAATCCACCAGCTGCTATGCAAGAGAAAAAGGGTAATTTCCTATGTGATTGACTCCTCTGAAGATCCACCGAAGAGTCAGCTGTGGGTCGAGTTTGACTCAAGGGTATACAACAACAATAGTGATAAAGGAGTTCAAGTTGTGCTGCCAGTGTGAAAGAACACAGTTTGAATCCACCAACTACTCTGCAGAATGATGCGAAGTCTCCTCCTGTGCTATTTACAGCCTCTGAAACGAACACTGGAGTGTGAACTGTGCATTGGTTCTGACTTCATGGTTCAGAAGAAAAATAACATGCTTGCTTTCAGGTAACTGAAACCGTAGAAAGTGAAAGCATGGATAAGAGGACTTCTCTAGTTTGTTCTTTTTGAGTTGTTTTATCTAGTAACTATTTGGAATCTCTATAGTGCTACTGTTCTTAGGAAAAAGTATGCATGTTTTATAAAATGGTGATTTTGGGTTAATAGAAGTGAGCTAATTTTTGGGACAGAACAAAAGTAACAAAGCTCTGGTGAGCTACCAGGTACGGCAGTAGTTTTAGAATTGGTAGAATTGGAAGAGATTGCTAATCCTTTTTTGTTACTGGATTTACAGTAATTGCTGGAGCCTTCTGCTATGATGTTGTTTTGGATAAGAAGCTGGATGAATGGATGCCAACTAAAGTAAGACCTTTAATTTTACAGGACTATCAATCCTGCAGCCTTTGTCTTTCTCTGTTATAATAATTCCTATATGTTTAGATTATAGTGTATGTGGAAGTTATTTAAAAGAATAGATTATTGTTACTTTTTAAATGTAATTATGACAAAGGCATAGGAAGGATAATATTTAATAATAGCATGGTCAATTGTTATAAAAGGAGCAAGAGAGTAAGGGCTAAGGGGCTGGCCATATCTAACCTTTACCAACTCCACAAAGGGGAACCATCCCCATCAACATCAGAAACACAAAATCAGTTCCTATAACGTTAGACATGTACCCCAGACTCCAGGACCTCTTTCTACTTATCCTAACATCACTATTACTGCTTTACTGAGTCCAAAATCTGTTACAAAAGCTCATGAAACCACATTAGAGAAGTCCAAAGGCTGTAATTCATGTTAGTAGCAGAATACAGTAACTCAGGATAGCTTCAGAAATGTGCAGGAACCTCAGCCTTTAGCCTTGAAGCTGTAGATTCATAGATCTGCCAGTTAATGTCTCTTCTCCTTTCCCCCTAATCCTCCAACAAACTTGGGCAAAAGGCTTTTAGTTCCATGAGGCCGCAGTCCAAAGGCCATCTCCATCTTATATCAGGTCTCTGGTTCTCTGCTACTGGCTACTATGGCTGCTGCACCAACAGACCCTGAATTGACTGACACAAGAATCTTTGGCTTTATTCTTTTGCTCCTTCTTTGCTGGTAGTGAGATTCTCAAATTATGCTGCTGGATCTGCTCAATTTAATGGCAAGACTAGCCAGTCCCCTTATGGATAGGCTAACATATCCTTTTTTGTATATTCTCACCCATCCACGTGGCAAAGTCAAACTCACAGGCGAGGCAAGTCATTTTGAACAGTAAACACTAAACACTACAGGTGCTTTGAAGTTTTATGCTTTGCTTGACTTTTTCTTAAAGTGCCTTCTTTCTTTTATTGTTCCTTAACACAGTGATTTTCAAGTATTACTACAGACACCCAAACACAACACTATCTTGGTTAGTTGATGTGATCGGCCTGGAGTTGTATATGCTTAGATACTACAGGTAGAGTTTAAAAAGCATTGCCGAAACTATGTGACTCCATTTTTATAATGGGATTAACATAGGGACAATGGGTCAAATTAAAGAATGAGACTGTTGATGAAGCAACTCCCACATAGAGCAGTACATCATGAGAGCTTTCTTTGTGAATGGTCTGCCTTCATAAGACAGGGTGGTGCCTTGAGTTCTGGGTTTTGGATAGCAGTTCTAGTTACCATTACTGTTGATTCTGAATCATTGTGACCATGTATATCACAGCTATGCTTTATAGGGTTTTGCATGGCTGCGCTTTTGGAAGGAGATGATCAGGCACATAATAGCACCAAATCACAGTCTTAGTTGAGCATAACTGGATATCTATGTTCAGCAATCAGAGAAGAGGAGGCAGTATTAGCCAATTGTATGTTGTCAATTCCATGATGTACTTCTCACCTGTACCCCTTGCTACATTTCAGTAGCTCTGAAAACAGAATGTATCTCAGAGTAAATAACATCTCATAGTTATAATTTGTAATGTTTGGGTTTTTTTGTAAGTCATACTTGCTGATGTGTTAGTGAAATAATGTTCTTGAAAAAAAGCAAAGGCTTTGGAGTTAGACGAGATTGAGGGTTAGACTCTAGTTCTAGAAGTTGTTGTCTAATTTTGCCCATATCAAGAGGGAGAGAGAAAGAGAGCAGAAAAGAGAAGCTAAGATGAAGGCAAGTAAAGGATTTAGCTCTGTTTCCACTGAACTTTCTCTTGTTAAATGCAGCCTCTTCTTTTATAGCTTCAAAGGTGAGAATACACATTTTTAACTGAGACAATATAACATACATTAGTCAAGATTCATCTCATTATCCATGACATTTCCTTCCTCTTTTATTCTTGGCTGTTATTTAATTTTTAAAAGTTTTTTTTTCAAGAAATATATCCTAAATCAGAGAGTTCATGGAATGGGTAGATGTATTAGAGAAAGCAACGGTGAGCTAGTTAAGTAACGGAAGAAGAGCAAGAAGTTTTTTCACTCAAATAATTCCAATAGAAATATATGAAGTCTAAAAAAATATGAAATATATAGAAAAATTTTTGTATAAAAGTATTTGCACCATAATGGTTGATCTTTGTGATCATTTATGGCCAAACTCCCCCCCAAAACCAAACAAAAACCTACACAAACTAAATAATTTCCCATTTTGGTGAAAATATATGCAACAAAGCATAATTCCATGTACCAGATTTTAGGTGTTGATGACAGTGGTAATACCACATTGTGTCACCATTCTCACTATCTCTAGCCATACTGTTTACGACCATTAATTCAGACTCTTTGCCACTTAAAGTTGTCAGTTGTGCTATAGTTCTTTTTGTTAGTTTGATTTCAATAAAGATAATTCTTTAAAGAGCATACTGCTCAAGGCAGACATTGTTTATTGTTGTTATTATGTGCTGTTGAGTTGCCTGCAATTCATAGTGACCCTGTGTACAACAGCCCTAAACCTTGCTCTATCCTGTGCCAGTCTTATTGTCTCTGACACACCAACCCCTGTTACCCCAGTCACTGTATCAATCCATCTCATCATGGGTCTTCCTCTCCTGAGCTGTCTCTCCACCCTCCCAAGCATGATGTCCCTCTCCAAGGCCTGGTCCTTCCTTACAACATGTCCAAAGTATGTCAGACGAAGCTTCAGACTCTGCCTCCAAGGAGCAGCCTGGTCTCACCCTTTCTAGGACAAACCTGCTTTGTTCTCCTAGCAATCCATGGTATAGTCAATACTGTTCTCCAGCAACCTTGTTTCTTAATAGACTTAAAATACTGTTTAATTCAAAGTTTGGCTCAAGGTTTAGAAGGTGCTACTAGGCAATAGATTAGGGGATTCCTCTAGTCTTAAGTGTATTTAGTATAGTAGCCTACTCTCCGTAATGATTTGAATTACTGTTTCATATTTTTCCTCCTTTGGCTAAAATCCATCTCTTAGGTCCTTGTTCCAAATGTTGAGAAATGGTAGCTAGGCATTAGTCAGTTCTGGTCTCTTGGCAAGGGAGATGGTAAATGGCCAGGAAGGCATTTAGCCTGCAGTCCATTTCCTTCTTCAGTTTATAAATGATCCCCTTCTGTTGCTCCAGGCTCAATTTTAGGCTTTGTTTAAGATGTCATAGACATTGTTAGTGTGCACTGTTAGTAATTGTATAGAAAAATTCTTTTCATGAAACAAAAATAGAGAGGTTAGAGAGATGCTGTATTTGAACAGGGCCAATGTTGACCTATTTTCTGGTGAAGCTTTCTAAATCATGCAAACAATATTTTCCCATTTATTTTAAAAGCTTAATTCCAGTCATACTATAAGCACCTTTTATGGTTTTTGCCTTAATGTTTGTTTAGTAACTTTTCTACTTGTTGTACCACAGTTTTAATGAACTATATAGATTATATAATTATATTAAAGACTATATAATTTGCATAAAAATGTAAATTTTTTTTAACATTTTAATAAACAGGCCCAACCTAGAGGCTTAATTTGTGAGGATCATTGTTAGAGGAGCTGATAACTTGAAAAATTTTATAATTTATAGAATTGGGAGAAGGTACTAATCTGCATTTTATAGTATAAATACTCTATTGTGACAAATTAGTTACTTTCTCTTGTTTTCTAATTTTTGGAGAAATACTTTTAGGTAACACATTATTAAGACTAATGCTTTCACTTTTAAGGAGAATCTACGTTCCTTCACAAAAGATGCTCATGCTTTAATTTATAAAGATCTTCCATTTGAAACTTTGGAAGTTGATGCGAAAGTGGCATTAGAAATATTTCAGCACAACAAGTAAGTTTTAAGTTTCCTCTGAAGAATATTAAACCTCTCTGAATTATATTTTCATTATAAAATGTCTTAATAATTCTTAAATTCAGTGCATAAATGACACCTTTCTATTTTTATCTTTTTTTTGGCCCTAGGCTCTTAACTTTTGTTTATCTTATTTTACTGAGAAAAACACTGTTGCCATTAGATAATTTCCTCACTTTGTTTTGCTTCTGCATTTATTAGGTCAAATATATATCCATAAACCTTTTCTTCCCTTTGTGAAGTGTTAACACATATTAAGAAGCTGTTACTTTGTGTGCTTTGCAGCTTTACCTTCCTATCCCTTTACTATTTAAATCAAAAGGATAAGATTGAAAATATAAGCATTTTGGAAATGAATTATACTTACATAGACAAATCTTAAATTTTATCTATTTATTATCCAATTGATAATTTGATTTTCTGTCAGCATTTTAAAACCCACTTGGCTATTGCAATTCCTTTCCCAGTTAGAGACTGTCACCTTATTCTACTACTTGTGCACCTTGTTATAAAAAGTACCACTGAGTCAGAACTGACCAATAGCTGACCCTCCAGTGGGTTTTCAGAGGCAGTAAACCACATGGGAGATTGCCCATCTTTCTTCCAGATTGTAGTTCGTGGATTTGAACTGCGTACCTTTGGGTTGGTAACAAAACTCCTTATTACTAGAGCACCAAAGATCCTTGATGAGGTATTAGTAAAGTATAGCCCACTTTTTCAAGACTAAGACTGAAAACAAAGAGAAAGTATCTTTAAATGACTTTTACATTAGTATTAATTTTTTTGTTCCTTTGCTACTTCTCAGGTACAAACTAGATTTTATAGAAGAAAAGGCATCTCAGAACCCAGAAAGAATAGTCAAGCTACACAGGTAAACTCTAAATGTAAAACCCCATCTTTTATTCTAATTCATAGTAAGCTTTATTAATACTTAAAAGAAGGGTACAGATAGATGCATTTATATCTTATTTTGTTACTCTTACTACCTTATGTTTGGTTCCTCTGTTCACTGTTTTACTATTGAAGAAATTGGAGGCTTTATTTTGAGAAAGTGACTGTCTCTATTTCTCATTGTTATTTTTACTTCTGAATTTCAGGGGTGGAAAAACCATTGTCTGAAAATTTTGTGTTATTTTAATATTGAAATTGTGCAAAGCATTCATTGTTATGAATTGAACATGATTGTTCCTGTATTTCCAGAAATGGAGACTGACTAGACAGTTACGCCTTATATTCTATGCGTAAATTAAACCAAATATGCTTTCTGAGGGAGGTAATGAGCATTTCATGGCTCATGTTGATACTCTTCCATGGATCCAGGAAAATGGATTTTGCAAATCTGATTTCATGGCCTGTATTTATGTCCTTCCATCATATTTTCATGATCTGAGCTTAACTTTTTAACTCTTGAAAGGAGCTCTTTGTTTCTGGATACCACCTGTCCTGCATATGGAATTTTAAACTTTGTTGCAGTGACTTTGGTTGAAGGTGTAGGATTTTGATTTTAGATATTGGATCTTGTTGACACCATGATATGGTAAGTAACTTAAAAACCTCTAAAGATAGATAAATGCTAACAAAAGGAAAAGTTCCCTTTGACTTTAATATTCAAGGCTTTGGAATCTTTACTTGAGACCGCAGTGTAGGAGTTGTTAGAGCCTACTTGAGGCATATAGAATGCTCTTGATTAGGGACCTAGCTGCAAAAGAGAATGAATAGATACTTTTTCTGTCCCCAAGCAGTTTATTAGAAATTATTTGATCTCTGTTTTTTTTAAATCTAATCAGATTCGGTGACTTCATAGATGTGAGTGAGGGGCCTCTCATTCCAAGAACAAGTGTTTGTTTCCAGTATGAAGTGTCTGCAGTTCACAACCTTCAAACCACCCAGTCAAATCTTGTACGAAGATTCCAAGGGCTCTCTCTTCCTACTCACTTAAGTGTAAGTAATATTTCAAGTCTAGTTCTTTCAGTTTGGGTTTGGGTGTATTTCTTGGCTTTATTTTATACCAATTTGAAGGCTATAAATTTCAATTTTCACAAAGTTGGACAGTGCTATATGTTATAATTTGGGCTTATAATTTAAAAATAATCTTGTCCAGATGTAAACAGCTAATCAACAAGAGAAAGTGTCAAAACTTAAATTAAGATGATATTTTTTTAGTTCTCAAGTTAGCCCAGTTGAAGGTGGATTGAGGGAATATTGGAATGCATGTTGGTAGACCTTTCTGAAATGCTTTTTGGCTATGTTTGGCATGTTCTTCTTTCCAGTTTTAGTGTTTTGTTTATGACTCAAACTCTCTCAGGTTCTATTTTGCTCTTACCTCTTAAAATTGCTTATATTTAGAAAACTTAATTTAAAAATAACTAGGGTAGACAGTAGTGACTGGACATTGGGCTCCAGCACATCGAGATGGTGAGGATGGACGCAGGATAGGACAAGGTTCAGATCTGTGTTCATTGGGTCCCTATGAATCATAGTTGACTTGATGGCACCTAATAACAATAATAATGGATAATACAGAAAGATTTTATATGCTTTTTCCAAGTTTTCCCAATACTTTGTAAAATCATACTATCATATCACAATCAGGTTATAAATATTAATACAGTAAAAATACAGAACTAGTGCATCCCCATAGGCACCATATGTTCCCTTACAATAGCCATGTATACTATTTGCCTGTTGTTGTTAGGTTCTCCCTCAAGTCAACTACAACTTACCCTCTGAGCAAGACATCTGACCCTTGCCCTGTCCTGTGCTGTTCTTGGGAGCTCTGTCATGTTCACACTCATAGTTGCAGTTGCTGTGTCAGTCCATGTCATTGAGGTTCTTGCTCTTCTACCTTTCACAGCATGAATTTTTCCCCCCTAAGAACTAAATCCTCCTGACAGCATGCCCAAGATAGGTGAGATTTTTCACCATTCTTGCCTCTGAGGCCCCTCTTTGTTGCACTTCCTCCAACAGATTTATTTGGGGTTTTTTTCCGTCCATGGTGGAATAGTCATTATTCTTCACTAACAACACAAAGTTATCACTAACAACTCAACTCAAAGGTCTCCATTCTTCTTTAGTCTTCCTTATACATTGCCCAACTTTCTGATGCATAGAAAGCAATTGAAAATACCATGGTTTGCATCAGGCACACCTTAGTCTTTAAACTGACATCCTGGCTATTTATCATAGTTTTGCTTATGTTCACCTGATTTCTCAAATTTTTATCTGGCAACCATTAATTAATTAATTAATTAATTAATCTTCATCTAAAATTTTTTTTCATTTCAATAATACAAGAATGGAGTGCAACAATGAATAAATCAAAATCCCACATTTTAAAACTTTGGTTAAAGTCACAATTAAAATAAAAAATTTTTAAAAAATACTAACAAGGGATTGTATGAAGGTTGTATTCTGTCCCCATAATTTACTCAGTCTGTATGCTGATCAAATTATTCGAGAAGCTAGACTTTATAAAGAAGAATGTCACATCAAGATTGGAGGAGGACTCATCAGTAACCTGTGTTACGCAGATAACTAAGCTTGCTTGCTGAAAGTGAGGAGGACTTGAAGCACTTGTTGGAGAAGATCAAAGAATACAGCCTTCAATATAGATTGCATCTCAATGTTAAAAGAACAAAAATTCTTAAGCACTGGACCTGCAGGCAACATCATGATAAATGGGAAAAAAGATTGAAACTGTCAACGACTTCATCTTGCTTTGATCCACAATCAAAACTCTTGGTACCAGCAGTCAGGAAATCAGGAGACATTTTACACTGGGAAAGTCTGCTGTCAGGGACCTCATCCAAATTATTGAGGAAAAGTGATGCCAGTTTAAGGACTAAGGTGTGTCAGAGTCAAGCCATGGTCTTTCCAGTCACTTGCTATACATCTGAGAGTTGGACAGTGAATAAGGATAACAACAGAATTGATGCCTTTGAGCTGTGGTGTTGGAGAAGGATACTGGACTGCCAAAAGAACAAACAAATATGCCCTGGAGAAGGTGGAGCAAGAGGCTTCCTTGGAGGCAAAGATGGTAAAGCTTTGCTCCATATACTTCAGGTATATTTCTGGGAGAGCCTGTTCCTTGGAGAGGGACATGATGGTTGGAAAAGTGGAGGATTGGCAAAGAAGAGGAAGACCTTTAACGAGGTAGATTGATACAGTGACTGCCTCAGTGGGCTTTAATGTGTCAGGAAATGTGAGGATGGCACAGAGTAGAACAGGGTTCAGATACATTGTTTATAGGTCATACTTCACTCACTGGCACTTAACACTACCACCACTAACAACCTCTCAAAAGTGTGGTGTCCCTTATTTATAGTATTAACAGTGTCTCTAATATTTTTTTTTCTGGGCTTCAAACAATATACATTTACATAGCCCTGCTCTACTAGTTGAGATTTCTAAACACATGCAGCCCTGGCCGTGCCCACCTGTTCTGTACCAAGAAATCTGGAATACAGTCACCTCTCCACTTGACTGGAAAAGATCCATATTGTTCCCATTTCAAAAAAAGGTGACCCAACAGCAAAGATGTTGTTGTTGTTATGTGCTGTCGAGTCGCCTGCGACTCATAGCGACCCTATGTACAACAGTCCTAAACTCCGCTCTGTCCTGTGCCAATCGCTCTGTCTCTGAC